CTGTTAAAGTTTACTTTACTTACTTTAAGTCAGTACTGTATGTGGCTATTTCTCTTACTGTGTTGCTGACTGTTACAGTTTACTTTAATTACTTTAAGTCAGTACTGTATGTGGCTATTTCTCTTACTGTATTGCTGACTGTTACAGTTTACAGTACTAAATTTAAGTCAGTGCTGTATGTGACTATTTCTCTTACTGTATTGCTGACTGTTACAGTTTACAGTACTATCTTTAAGTCAGTACTGTATGTGACTATTTCTCTTACTGTATTGCTGATTGTTACAGTTTACAGTACTATCTTTAAGTCAGTACTGTATGTGACTATTTCTCTTACTGTATTGCTGACTGTTACAGTTTACAGTACTAAATTTAAGTCAGTGCTGTATGTGACTATTTCTCTTACTGTATTGCTGACTGTTACAGTTTACAGTACTAAATTTAAGTCAGTGCTGTATGTGACTATTTCTCTTACTGTATTGCTGATTGTTACAGTTTACAGTACTATCTTTAAGTCAGTACTGTATGTGACTATTTCTCTTACTGTATTGCTGACTGTTACAGTTTACAGTACTATCTTTAAGTCAGTACTGTATGTGGCTATTTCTCTTACTGTATTGCTGACTATTATAGCTTACAGTACTATTTTTAAGTCAGTACTGTATGTGACTATTTCTCTTACTGTATTGCTGACTGTTACAGTTTACAGTACTAAATTTAAGTCAGTACTGTATGTGACTATTTCTCTTACTGTATTGCTGACTGTTACAGTTTACAGTACTATCTTTAAGTCAGTACTGGTCGTGGCTATTGCTGACTTTTACAATTTACTGCTGACTGATACAGTTAAATTTACTAACTTTAAGTCAGGTTTACTGTTTAGACCCATCTGACATCAATACTTTGTGTTTACACTTTCTTCCGTTTTTGTTCCTTTTGATGACATTAAACGTCAATAGTAACACTGTACGTAAATGGTTATAACCCATGAAAATATAAGTAGTTATACCCAATGAAAACGTAATTATTTAAACCCAACTCAAATAATTAGACAAAATGAGAAAATGATCTGTTGTATCATAAAGTATTAAGCGATTGATATTGTCACAAATGTGAATGTTTATAGCTATACCAAAATGATAACTTTAAAACAATAATAATAATCAATTTGTAATACATACAATGTGTAAAAGGTGAAGATAACAAACTGTGATCAACCTCATAAATCCACTGAACCTAATGTCTATAGTAATACCCAATGTAAACAGTCATGTGAAATAATAATAGATCTAATCTATATGAACGTATATACTAGTAGTTATACCCGATGAAAACGTACTTATTTATACCCTATGATAGAGAAAAAAATTGTAACTTAGAAAAGTTAAACACGAATTACCATACCTATAATGGATTCCTTAACTTCATAAAATTCCATACAAACAAAAACATAGTGGGTTCTAGTAAATATTCTACCAAACCTTTGTCTTTACTCCTCACGAAAATATTGACAACAGTGAAGAAAAAACTTAAAGATTTCTGTAGAAGTTGTGTTAATCAAATGTGGATACATAATTCCATTAAAAAAAGAGAATTCGAAATCTCAAATTAATACTAGAAACGATAGCTTCAAAACATACGACTTTTCATCACTTTATAAAACACCTCCATATAAATTAAAGACCAGGTTTTTGTCGCCCTAGATAACTACATTTTTAATAAAATGGAAATCGTAATTTACTTACCTTGATATTGGTCATCTGCAGACGTATTTTATTAGAAATCATTTTGATTCTAAAGACAAGTACTCTGAAGTTTATATTCAAAATATTCTTGAGTTTTTCAAAGACAATACCTAAGTTTTCTTTGGAGACCAGGTATTTCAAGAATTTGTGGGAATTCCCATGGGTAACAATTGTGCTCCTATATTTGCAGACCTGTTTTGTATTCTTATGAAGCAGAATTTATTTAAAAACTTCTACTTGAAAAGAAGTCTCTTGCTGTGACGTTCAATTCAACATCTAGCTATATGACGTTTTATAAATTGACAATGTTCATTTTCATTCCTACGTTGATTGATACATCCCATTTAACTCGGCATAAAAAGACTCCACAGAAGCGGACACATCTGCTTCATATATGGATATTTTACTACCGAAAGACTTTGATGGCAACTTAACAACTAAACTTGATAATAAATAAGATGACTTTAATTTTCTATCGTCAACCTCCCTTATTCATGTAGGAATATATCATTGCTACCTGCATAATAAGATTATATATCCCAGTTGATTCGATGCGCAAGAACATGTTCTGTGTACAAATTTTCTAAAACGAGACAGGCTATTGACAAAAAAGCTGATGATACAACAATCTCTATTAAAGTCAACATGTCGTATATTCTATGGTTGATACATTGACCTTGTTTGGAAATACAATCTGTCGTGGAATGTTTACTGAAGTTTTCATACAAAATTGTTAGGCTAATATTTTCACACGGAATTGTCTACCTATATTTCGTTTTCCCAATCATGACAAGGAGCACATGAGGGGTTTGCTTACTCGTCTATGGCACGTGATCTTATCCCTGTTATCAGAGGTCTGTAATAGCTCTGCTCACAATTTTTGTTGTTTAAATAGATTTTTGAGCATGATTACTATTTGTTATCCTCTCATTTCTTTACACAATAAGAAAATGATCTTTGTCTTATTTGGATTCACTTGAATTATTGTTGGCGAAATCTTACAGGCGGTCTATTTTCTCCGTAAGATAAACTTCATAAAACATGTATGACATTCACAATAATCAATATAAAGACATAACTGTCTGTCCTCCAAGTAAATATTGAAATAGATCACATTTCAATGCTTTTAAATAAGCAATATATTTGCGGTGATTGAATTTATTAGTGACATTGCTGTCTTCCAAATGTCGAACTTCAATCGCCCACCAATACTGCATCAACCATACCATTACCAAGCCATAAACCGGGGAACGAACAAATGTAATGATTTTTCAAGTATAGTCTTTAAGGTTTGCCAAATGGCAAAACACAACCTTAACAGCTAAACGTGAGTTTTGATACCTTGATACTAAACATAAGGCTATAAGTCAATATTTGATATTAAAATTAAATATAAAAACACAAGTTCAAAAGATGATCTGGAAATAAAACAAATGTTTCCATTCTAATTTCACATGATCATAACACCAAAATCTACATTCTAAGTCTAACCCTCAATGTAACATCCTCATGTAACATCACGCATATGTGTTCATTCTAACTTCAAATGATTATTACGCCAAACATATACCATAACAGTTTGATAATAATGTTCTTCAAGCAACTCTTATAAGCAATCATTATTATTTTACGTAGTGCTAACAAAAACAATAACACATCTCCTTTTTCTAGCGCCCTATTGTTAACATCTCCATTAATTGTTTTGACTGGAGTGTAACCAGACCGCAGAGCAGTTCTCTGAATTTCTGATCGAGCAAGTTTTTAAAACTTGTTTTAGATTCCATTTGCAAGTGTATGGATTTCAACAATAAAAGTTCTTCGATATCCAAGACGACTGCAGAATATCTTCACTTTTTTCAAATACATCCTCAGATCCCCCTGGGTGTGCCTTTGTTGGAGAGAGTTTGAGAGAGAGTATGAGAGACATGTGTTTAATATATTATTACAGTGACACTTTTTAAACCCCCTTTTTGCTTTTGTTCCTTTTGTTTGAGTTTTTTGTTTATGTTGTGTTTTGTTCTTTGAAATCGATCGGTTTCTTCAATAAAACATTTTAATATAGAGATTGTTTTTCGAATTTGATAACCTTTAAAAAAAAATGCAAACGAGCCAGTTGGATAAAAATGATTGAAGAACAAACAAAATTACTTTTTTGCTTACACACCACGTTTGATCCATGCCTATAAGTTTAAATTTTGATAGCAACATTACCCTTATCGTTAACTTTATTTTAATGTTTTATAAAATATCTTAAAATACGCTTTTAAGGGGGCCGACTGGGGTTTTCATTGCGCAATACTTCGCGCAGCATAGTAAAATAAAGCGTATTTACCCTTTTAAATCAACTATTTTTACATAATTTATAAAAATTAACAAATTTAGGAAATCACAGGTTAAAATATCTAATTAAGTTTTTAAATTACTGATATTTTAAACGATTTTTCAAATGATGAGTAGATATAGACGTCGTAATAGTGTGTTTTTGACGTTATGAATATCCGAAGTTCTTTAAGCGGGGTAATTAATTATGCCATAAAATAAAAAGTATAAAATACATGCTCTTGAAATTTTTAACATAGGAAATTGAGAATCTAACAATCATTTTTATTATTTTTTATGTAAAACTGTGGTATCTGTCATGGTTTGTTGTACTCCATAAAAACAGGAAAATATCATGAATTTTGACATTTTGAGAATCCCCCTCTGGAAACCAGACGGTAGAATTTTGTGTTTCTTGCACAAAATGTACAATATAGTATTACCCATCAAATAATATAATTTGAGCAAAAAGTCTATAGTAGCATTTGTATAATTTGCTCCGAAGTGCGAAAAAATGGTATTTTCCTATATAATCCTATAGTAAATGTACCTGTATTTTGAGATGGTCCCTAAAAATAACCAGACGGTAGATTTTCACTAAACTTGGCATGTATACCGAAGTCAATGTAAGGTACATATGGTACAAAATTAAAAAGTTTCTCTGTAGTAGTTTTCACACAATAAAACCCCAGTCGGCTCCCTTAAGCGTCCATTCCATTTACAAATCCTAACCCCAAATCCTGTAAGCTAACATTTTGATATAGCAAGATCCTTAGATCACACTTATTGCTGGTCTAACCTCTAATAAATTACCTAAATAAAAAAAATATTATCAAATGTTCAATAGATATGTTTTGTAATTTTCCAGTTGTCCTGAATTTATTAATTACGATATTTCTCCTGAAAAAAAATAATGAGTTTAAAGGTTGCAAAACCTACCTTTTGAGAATGAGAGTTTCATTTCACACGTAGTCCAAATACTAATTCGTGATCCTCAACGACCAGTATTGAAAATAAATGTGAACGGTTTCGTCAAACAGAAAGTTTTCAAGAAAATTAATTTTAAATCCAAGATAAAAACAAGCAAACGGAAGAAAAATCACAAAGCGAAAATCCTCGAAGAAAGAGAACGCTTGATTTAAGAATTATGAGATACGCGCGATAATCGCCTGTTTTATTCAAGATGTTGATATTTTCTGAAAGCGCGTGACCAGTAGTTTACAAAAACGGAAGTACTTGCCAATCATCCTTGGGCAGCCAAGAGCACGCGCATGTTACAACGAGAGATGCATGTAATCGAAAAGCGAAATAATAAGGCATCGATTGGCTGCAAGCAAGTGTTATAATGGAATATTTACAGCTAAGTGAACCTTTATCGCTATATAGAGATGGCACTGGTTACAATTTGAATAACAATCGCTAACTTCTTGATGGAGATTGAACTGAGGTAATGGCCATCAGCCCTCTGTTTGTCTGTATACTTGAGCGTATTCTAATTCATTTTTACCCGTTTACGATGACCAAAATGTCATAATTACTTGTTTAAGATATGGTACGCATTGTTTCTTGATTAAACCCGTAATTTATCAATTTGATAAAAATTTAACTCCATCTTACTATGACAGTGTCCTCCTGTGAATATTAATTGATTATATTTATAATAAATATTTAACAAATCATTTATATTTTTCCTCCTTGGGTTTCAATATGACATCCCATTTCTCATCTTGGAACTTGAATTCCAAATTCTTCAGAGTTATGTTGACTCAAGTCAGTTATACAAATGCTTATTTCAACAGATAATTTAGAGGGGGAAAAAGGTCAAGACTTTCTGAACGCTATAAAATTTGAAAGGTAAATGATATGCTCATTGATTGCAACAATATGGAATTTTCTAAAGGAACTTTGACTTTTGATGTAGAAGAATTCTGCCAAAACATCTAACCTTTGAATATGAACTTAATGCAGGTATTTGAACACTATGGTTAAGTCTTTATATTTTCATTTGCCAATTTTTTTCTTGAAGGAACCTATTGAAGAGAAAAGATGTTCAATTCTGTAAGAACTTTTTAGGGGGTCAGAGGTCAAAGCGTGACGGAATTATATGGCGAGATGATTTTGCCTACATATTTCTGTCTCAGTGAAACTGCTTTCGAAACTTCTAACTCGATAGCGATGAAAAAGATAAAATAATTGAAACATATGAATATTTTTTTTTTGTTTCGCCTGCAGAGGGATCACCTTACCCGGTGTCTGTCTGTCTGTATGTCCGTCTGTCACATCTTATATCTTAAGAACTGTAAGAGGTATGGATTTGATATTTTGAACAATACAATAATTTCTATAGCGCATGATTATATAGACACTCTAGTGCGCTTAACATTAAAATACACATAAGCATACAAAATGGAGAACAAACTACTTAAAAAAAATACATATGCATGAGAGTTAAAAATATAGGATAACTAAAAGACATTATATACCGGTACTAAAAGAACATTAAATGTTGCTAGTGTACTGTACATTGCGCGGAAGTCCCTAATATAAATTACAAATATTGAAAGGTTTAAAAATTTTAGAACCTGTACTTATGAGTAAAACACAAAGTTCATAATAGACCTTACAACCAGTTCAATGTTTTTGTACATTATAAGTAAATCACTTAAAATACAATATTTACATTCCGTCATAAGCTAGTTCTAAGAGGTGAGTTTTAAGATCTTTTATAAAAGCGGAGACGGATTTGGAATGTTTCAGACATAAGAGTAGGCTTTGATGAATTATCATGGTTAATAACCTCATGACCCCTGACCTTGATCTACTTTTAAAAATAGTTCAAATTGCCGATATACAGTCCGCGAGAAAACCATACAAAATTCAAAAAATCGTCCAAATGGAAGGTTGGAACATAGGATTTTTTAGTGGCTTAAAATTTTCTATATAAAAGTAAAAGTCAGAATATCTACAAAAAAATTGTCGAACCTCGCATCTATTCTTAGATGCTATTTTCTCTCAAGACCAAGTAAAAAATTAAATTGAAATAAGTGTAATCTTTGAAGTGGTCTTAGGTCTACTATGAATTAAGATATTGAGCTTGGGATATACTAGTAATATCTAAATGTTGAAAATAACTTTAAAAGTTGTATTCTAAATTATTTCATTATCCGAATAACCGAACAAGACATATTTTTTTAGGAAAGAGTTACTGTTATTTTTATACAGAGCCCGATTTATAATGTTTTTTTTTTTAATGAAACGTGGCCTTTGGAACCCGCGGGGGAGGGGGCGTGCCCCTCCTATAATTTTGCAGTACATCTACATAGTATTTTATTGAAAAGAAAGTTACTTCATGGATGTGCCCCCTAAATATATCCTTATGAGTTATGACCTCCTTTTTTGGTAGTACTCACCCCAAATGAAAACGTTAGGTTGTGCCCCCCCCCCCAAAAAAAAGACATTGCTTACTAAGAGCCTGTCAAATAATTTTATCATGGAGAGTTTGAATTTAATTAAGACTGTGTGTGCCACGATTGATCCTAAAACGGAGTTAAAGTCACTATAGAGAATGCCTTCAAATAATTTTACTTCAAATACATCCAAAACTTCAAATTTTCCGATGCCGATTTGAATTTGAAACCCTTTCCCTCTTCAATATATTTAATAATTTTGTAGAGACCTTAATTTCTCTAGTCCGCATCAATTAAGCAAAAGTACAGTATATGTAGCGTTACATTCTGTACATGTATCGAAATGAACAAAAATGTAAAGAATCATATTGTAAATGAAAAATAGAAAAATAATTCATGATATATACATTTAACAAGCGTACAGCCCAGGGAAGGAGGTATAAAACTGGAGGGGGGACTCCAGTGACTGATCACCTGTGACAAGAATTTTGGTTCTTTTATCATAGGCGTCGGAACCGGGGGGCTAGGGGGGACTTAGCCCCCTCCCACTTTTTTTTGCAAAGATAGACATAATATTGGCATTGAAAATTGGGGCTTACCTTTTTATGTTGGTTTAGCCCCCCTCCCCCCTCTATCAATTTGCTTCCGACGCCTATGCTTATGATTGTCAGCAATCCATACTTTGTTATTATACACCCCCTCCCCCGCTTGAAAAGCGGGGATGTATAGTGATGGGGCTGTCTGTCCGCCCATTACGCTTTGGGGCAGGCCCGTAGGAAGCAATTTCAGTTTGGGGGGGGGGGGGCACAGCCATACCTTTTTCAGTTGACAGTTCAGGGGACACTACCAAAAATTTCCTAACAAGCAAAAAAAAAAAAGGCGTTTATATTGAGGGGGCACAAGCATCTAGTATCTATGTTTACTATAGTACCCCCCTTCTATTTTACTTTTTGATTGGACACATATTTCGGGTTTGCAATGGCAAAACATAGAAACTGCCATTCTTTCTATATTTTTTAGGGGTACTCATCTCTTATCCGCATCTCCTACTTTACCACTGAATAAAATTTAATAATTTAATTTTGGTTGTAACGCGTCATTTGATTGGATTAAAAAAAATAGAATATAGCGTATAACCTGGGTTGCCTACGTCACAATGACTTACTTCAAAAACGTATCAATCCGCTTGACGTTATATTTAAAAAAAAAAAGTACAATTTGAAGGCATTTTTGAAGGAAAAATGGTCTTTATTTTTTTTTATATATATATTTTTTATATATTTAATGATGGAAAATTAAATTCAATAGTTACCCAAGTTATACTGGTATAACCTGGGTTGGAACAGTGCTTTTTTATAAACCGCTTCGCGGTTTATAAAGCGTAAACTGCCCCAACCCAGTATAACTTGGGTACATGTAGCTATTAACTTTATTCCTTAAATGATACTATTACATGGTGCCATTGTGCACCTCCTATTTTACTTTTTGATCTGACACTTATTTCGGGTCTCCCAGAGCTGCCATTATAATCATATGAGAGGCGGGGGTATCATTTTGTGAGCTCAGTGATCACAGTATACCTCTAGTTTTGTTTAGTTTCAGTTTTAAATTAGAATGTTTACCTACATTACCTACATTCCGTCACAAGCAACAATTTCATCTACATCAGTATCAATAATTTCTTTGTCAGCGGATCTTCCAGCGATTCACGATTACAATGACTGGTCGCTTCTTTTTTCATGCTTAGAAATCTCCACAAAATGATAAATAGCCATATTTAAAAACATATTTATTAAGTACACAGTTAATATAGCTATCGGGATTTGATCTTAAAATGGTTGAACAAGTTTTTTCAAGCACATCAGGTACTTTATGCAAACGAATTCATTTCTTTGAGAGCCGTCTTTATTTCATAAAAGCCCCACTGCCAGGGGCGGATCCAGGATTTTATTTGAGGGGCCTTGGTCGGAGACGTGAGACAAAGACGCCTTTGACCCCTTCCTTCACGGAATCACAGGGAAAAATGAGGGCGGGGTGCCATTGAGTTTTTGATTGTGAAAAGAAAACCTTTGAAGGTCTTGTGGGAAATATGGCATAATAGATATTACATTTGTATTTGAGAAAATATAGAATTATAATATAATATGATTATAAAATGTATAATTCTGACATTAGCTAGGCACTAAAGGCACGTGTCTACACTTATTTTTTTATTTTATTTTATTTTATTTTATTTTTTTTTGTCAGAAAAAAAAATGTTTTAAGAACAAAAATGTAAAAAAAAAAAAAAAAATAAATAAATAAATAAAAAAATAAATGACGAAATATCATTTTTTTTTTCATAGCTTGAGATCATCAATGTATAATATATCACCAAACTGTGCAAAATAATAATCGGCATTTGTTAATCGTCATTGCTAATTGTCATCTACATCAGTATCAATAATTTCTTTGTCATCGGATCTTCCAGCGATTCACGATTACAATGACTGGTTGCTTTTTTCTCTTCTTTTTTCATGCTTAGAAATCTCCACAAAATGATAAATAACCATATTTAAAAACATATTTATTAAGTACACAGTCAATATATCTATCGGGATTTGATCTTAAAATGGTTTCGCTGTAGGACTCTCACCGGTTAGAACGGTACATTCGGGGTGGCGGCAATGCGTAACTCGGGGTGGCGGCACCGAGGCGAGGAAAACATCAACACGGC